GAAAGGAGACTGCGTAGGGAAAGATCTGTTGACCGATCACACGAACCGAACCAAGCGAATAGACGTCATGATGCTCAGACAAACAACCAAACGCGCGCAGTGCCGGCGACCCTTAGCCAAGCTATCAAGATCGATGAAGACCCGGAAACAGAAACAGACTCTGTGCTCTATATGTTGCCTCATTCTAAACTGAAGCGGAAGCTGAGAGAGCAACAACAAAAACGACAGACCTGGGTTAATCGAGCCATCAAGTGCTGCTCCTGCGAAGTAACTGGCTCGGCGGTCAACAAATGCGCATGTGGGCATGAGTCTTGCGGAATATGCTCCCATTATTCAGTTGACTAGTTGCAAACTTGCTGGTTACATTTTCACAGACTTTCGGATCAACAATTTTTCCGACAGCTTAAGCACACACAGAAGGCCTTCATAAAAAGCTTCTCTAGATTTTGACCCTATCAGCTTTCAACCCAGTTACAATATTTCAAGATGTCGAATGTATATTGCAATAGGTTAGGTGGCAGCACAGCTAATTATGCCTTTGGGTGTATCGGGGGGGGAGAGATAATCGAGGGTCCATACAAATATGGGCTCCGGGTGGGCGAGGTGTATCCAGATGCTCCCCCCATTCCAAAGGTTTAAGAAGTGGTTCTTGCCTCCGGGAGGCCCCCCAAAACCATTTCCCTGGGGGGGGGGGGGGGGGGGGGGTGCGTGATAGGGTAGCCGTCCATTTAGTTCTCACTAACAAAGCTTCCCCTCTCGTTCCAGTGTCCTGTAAATATGAAAGAAAAAAAAATCTTATTTTCATTTAACAGAAGCAAAGCGCTCAAGAACGAAATCGCGACTTTAATATATTGTATCCTGCATATAAAAATAAAACGCCTAGATGTTCTTGGTTTTTTCTATTAATAAAAAAAAATTGTTTAAACTGGTGCAATTTTTTGCCGGCCGTGAAGCATTTATCTATTTCAAGCTCCTTGGGTAGAGAACAGAAAAAAAACAATGAATTAAAACAAACACATAATGTATAAAATATAACATTGAAAACCACAATTCGCAACCTTCCTTTCTGTAAAAGAAGAACAAAATAATGAAATGAACCCGCAATTCAAGTTTGCAAAAACTTCACAACTTTTCGCAAGTACTCAATTTAAAATCACGCGTCCAATAATGCTAATGACGCTTTCACCGCTGTTTTTATGTTTGAATGGGGAATGGAGATGGGAGGCGGGGTATCATAGACAATCGAGGAAACAACACACCAAAAAAAAAAAAAAAAAGTGCAGCTCGTGGTTTAACACCAGATCCACAAACAATCACTTTGCTTATCAACAGTAACAGATAGCGACAATGGCGGAAGCCCATATCAGAATGGCATTATAGGCGAGTGGGTTAGAACAATAACAAAAAGGTGCTGCGCCACTTCATATCACCTCATCCCGTTCCCAGCCAGTGGGCTTGACAATTTCAGCCGACTTGGTAGGATGCAGCGCCTCGGGATTATCGTACTTGGCCGCGTACGGATTCGGGTCCACACCTTGCTTGAGATTAGCCAGCGTGTGATTGACCTCACGATGTTTCGCTTCATCGGCACGGATGTAATATAGCAAATCGAGAATTGTCCTCTTCCCCTCGGGCATCTGCCAGTACGCTACGGCGATATCCGGAGCCGCCTGGTTCGCCCAGTTGGGGAGCTTGCCAGATTCGAGATCCTTGATCGCATGGGTGTATGTCATGACGGCCTCCTCTTCGAGGTATCCGACGAAACGGTGGCAGGTGCGTGGAGAAATCAGATAGGAGATGAAAAAGCCGTTGAAAAATACGCCCTGAGCTCCCAGGACCATTAAGCGCATGAACCAGCCCGGCTGTGCGAGTTTTAGGAAGGAGAGCAGGTGCATGCGTTCGTTGTAGGCTTCTTCCAAGAGAGTTTCGATCCTAGAAACAAAACAGATGAATGTTTAGTATTCTGAGTGATACGATAATCAGGACGGGGATGCAAAATTAATGGGATGGAAATGCAAGCCCTTACCAGCCATTATCTCGCTTCATACGCCTCAAGCTTCGGAGGTGACGAAGCATACCGCCAACCATTCCAGGAACGCCAGCAACAGTTTCCAGGAAAATAAAGCGGATGACCCATTTCCTCTCAGTCATCTGGAATTGTTCTGGCACTTCCACCCCCTGCTTACCAGGTGCAGCATGCCTATAGCCAGTTGCCAGATCTGTAGCCCAACGCAGGAAGCGGACAGTGCCCAAGGCAACCCAATCTGACCAGTTTTTTGCTTCTCGATGGGCAATGGCAATTTCTTTCATTTGTTTTTCGGTGAATCTAGAAAGGGAAAAAAAAAAAAAAATAAAATAAAATAAATTGCAACTTTAGTTTTTTGCATCACGAAAATCATGTTGTAACATGAACCCAAATAAAAATAATACTAGAACTTAGGTGAGGAAAACGTACACCGGATGTTTCCATGTCGTTACCGACTCGACGATATGATCCGTCTCCTTCGGGGGCGCAAAAAATTCCTTAATCCACCGACGAGAAGTTGACGAGAAATATCTCATGTTGCTATTCGAAGCGGTGGCGTAATGATAAAGCAGGGGACTGCCCCTCAGGCCTCTGATGGCGGTGGTTGATGGACGAAGCAGCGGGCCTCGCAGCATGGCGGGGGCAGGGCAAGCCATCAGAACCCTCGCGCATCCTGCTGAGGTCGGATACATGATGTAGGCAATGAATGGGACGAAACCAAGAGTGGAAATGAACGCGTGACGGCTGTGATGAAAGTGGGGTTGGTCAGACAGAGGTGTAGTGGTAATGGCAGTACTGAATCGATTGCTTTGCAGCGAAGATATCGGGCAGAATATACAATTGGCAATCCACCATCTGGACAGTACACTCAATATATAGGAGTGGAACAAGCGTTATTAAAGGGATCCAGAATAGGCTTTGCACGGCATCCTTGCCTTGTATAATGACTTCATTAATTCCCCGGGTCCAGCAGGTTCCGATGGGCCTGGCCCCGGCTCGGAGCTCTTGCTCTCATTTAAATTATACATGTGCTAGAAAAATCACCGGAGGAAGTATTGGATCCTGGTGCGGAGTAGTATTAATAATCTGGCTAGATCTGTGTTGTTTTAATGGAACTGTTGTCAGCTGACTGTGACGGGTCTCCGCCGAGAGTCAGCCCTATTATTCGCTTCGAAAACAGGTGATACAAGGCGGCGGCGGGTGAACCCGGGCGAAGTTGAAGTGTCCGTTGCTCTGATTTTCCATCACTAGAATCATGCATGATTCAGTGACAAGCAAAGTGGCCTTGCCTCGGTCTACCTCCCTGATTCTTCTTTATTTGCTCGCGACGGCGCAGAGCCCAATTCCCTATGAACCCGAGTCGGGATCCGCGCTTCCGCCAGAAACGACCAGAATAACAGCCACACACAGAGCTGAAACATGTCGAATCTTTACGGCGACTTTCCAGGAGGCGTTGGTTCCTTTTTTTTTTGTTACATTTTTTGTTTCATTTTTAATGGTTTTCAATATTCGGCCCCGGAGTTCCCGATATCCCCCGATCATGTCACGCCCCAGCTATCAAAATTTATCACTGCAAAGATCTTGGCAAACCATGACTTAACACAACTCAGCCGTGCTGGCCACCACGCCCGGTGCAGTCGAATTCGTTAGACACAACGAATAGGAGGAATAAACAGACGAGAAGCTGACTATATCGCGCCATCATCAAAAGACACGTGCCATGCAGCACGCAGCGCACTTCTCCAGCAAGCACCTATGTGGGATCACAGAAGTCATCGATGATCAATAGAACTGTTCTAATAGGCCTGTTTTTGTAGTCATTATTGCAGTAGAACATTTCTTCAAATGCGGCCCCTCAGCTTGCTGCCCCTGCGGGTAGACTTCAAGTTAGGTTATACCTGTTTATCATTGGCCTACAAGCACCGCCAAAAAAAACATATTGAATTTGAAGCCTATATTTATTAACTAGATCAATTGATTTAGACACTGCAGATGTCTTGAAGCTGCTTGGATCAGCGGGCTACGCGGTGATGTAGTTAAGTGAGACAATGAACTACTTACTGTAACTATTGGCAATCTATAAACAAGATACATTTAAAGCACAAATATCTTTTTTCTTTAGTTGGGGCTAAAACAAAGGACTTAATACGCATACATATATCTCCTTGTCCTACTTTATGTAGATTCGAAGCTGAATCTAATCTTGCTATATTATAAACTTGTAAGCTCATATTACCATACCGCGCATGGAGACATCCATTTTTTAAGTCTCCATGTTATGCAGGTGTAATGAGAGGGAGCTCAAAGAGCTAGCTGCATTGCATTGTGTCACATGAATTTCAATGTGAACATGGGTTTGGAAATACACAAAGCAAGCTGTCGGGGTTCAACATAAGTCCCCCCTTCTCTGTTAATTGCATAATGCATCTTCTAGTCTAGGGATGGATCTGATTTCCTGAAACAACGTGTAAATATATTTATATATACAGATGCATATCAAGCAAGGTTTCATATCTCTATAGAAAAATAGTTAGCCGCGAGTCACTACGAACGACTCCTCCCCATCCTTCAAGTCAATCTCCGACTTTTCCAGCTTAACCACACGTGCTAATTCGGGTCCTTGGCTTAGATCCTCGAGCAGCTTCGAGAGCGCGGCCTCATCCCCTTGGGCTTCCCCTTCTACCTGTGTAGATTATTGGAATGTGTAAGTAATAAAGGTAGTGCATGGTAGATGGATAGGCTAGTGGGTATGTATATACACATATAGCAATGTGAAACGACGATCTGTGCTTTCGCGGGGTAGAAATGAAAGTCAAGCACAATATATAGCATTAAGTAATCGGAGGGAAGCGGGGTGGGGCTTTCTTCGCTCATATATGTGAGAACATATATTGTGTTGCAATGAGCAAGAGCGACAATGACAAGAGTCTCGATTCAACTACATTCCTGCGCAGTTTTTTTTTTTTTTTTTTTTTTTTTTTTTTTTATATAGATAGAGTGGTGGATGGGACATTTGACGGAGGCAGAGTTGGGGTGGGAGGGGTCTGTTTCCAACCGACCTTTCCATCAGATGTATTCCTCACCCATCCGGTTAAGCTGTAGTTATTCGCATTCCGCCGAGTGAAATCGCTAGTTTCAAGGATTCATGAGTCAGCATAGACTTATTTCATCTTAAACAAGAAAAGCATAGAGGAGGGATTGGGAGGGGAGGTCTATGATTATTTTCCATACCGAAAGAAGACTCCTGACAACCCCAGCCCGTCACAGGTTGGTTGATTGGTTAGCTTGGGATAAAGCAACGCAGAATCCAGGCGAAAAGAGTCAATTTATACATGCCTTGGACTTTTCCGTGGACACGAAAGGAGATCTGGGTCTGGTCAGTGATTTTTTTTTTCTTTTTTCTCATATATCAATGAGAGTTGTTTATATTGTCATCAAAACTTCCGGAGAGGATGTTAACTCCATACTCGTTTCGACATAATGGGTTTCCCGTTCCCTGGTGTGTGAAAAGCGCGAACCTAGGCCGGATAGATATAGATCCTTTAGCCGCTTCACTTTGATAATAAGATTGCCAGTGATGAATGGAGGTGCCGTGATTTCAGTGCTATGGAGGGTTATACTCAAAGATGACCTGTGCCAAGTCCTTGGCCTGTTGTTGACTAAACGAAGGTGTGCACGGTCCACAGCCATAATCACACGTGATTTTAAGACAAAGGTGCTAGTCCCAAAACAGCAAAATACCAACAAAGGTCTTGGCGTCATATCGGATCTCCCAAAAGGGAAAAAAGTTAAAAAAGGGAAAGAATTAATTATCAAGCATGTGACAAGTATAGGGATAGGCCGGTGTACGCAGTGCTACATGCAACAGGCGCAGGAATCAGGGTGCAGCTCTTCTTAAGTTCTGAGAGCTGCAGCAGGAAGAGATGGATGCTACACTATGTTGGATGCCTGGGATGTTCCTGGCTGTCACGGCCAGCGCTATGCTTGGTTGATTTTAGCTGCAAGCCCCTTTCCTGTTCATGATCTCAAACCAACATTTCCCTCCCTCTCACAACCAACAACAAACATCATCAGCATGGAAAGAGATGCTTAATGTTAATAATAGCCAGGAGAAAACTCATTGCATTCATTTGGCTACCCTTTACATCTAATTTATGTCTTGCATTATTTTCTTGGCCGACGAGCAATTCTTACTCCCCCATATATATTTTGTTTCTTTCAACCAGTCTTAACACTTTGCAACTAAGCCCTGCATATTGATAGTTATTTATATACTCCTCCTTTAAATAAAGATCCCACGTCCCACATTTTTACTGCCAGTAAAGGAACTCTGTCCTATTAGACGTGACAAACAAAAATGGCCTCCCAAGGCGACCGTGATCGACCACCCTATCCAGACACTCAAAACCCCTCCCGCTCCCCCTCCCTCTCGCCCACTCCGGCCGTCTCCTCTTGTCCTTCGCCCGACCGCACTTTCTCCACCATGTCCACCGTGTCCTCCGTCTCCAATTTCTCTGGAGATGCGAAATCAGGCGTGTCCTCCTCCTCGCGCAGACGCGGCTACATTCGACCCCAGGGCGTGGAATTCGCCGAATCCGCAAAGAACCGCGAGAGCGTCATGAGTCTGGGGAGCATTGCGCATTTGCAATACTACTTTGCGAGAACTGGCTTGCTGGATGGCAAAGGCGCGCAGTTCGCCAAGGAGAACAGGAAAAAAGGAGAGAAGTCGCTGCAACAGCAACAGCACCAGGATATCCCCAGGCTGATGTTGTCCCAGCAGCCGCAGCTGGGTGAGGACTTTGTCGAAAGCCCTATCGACGATATGGCTGGCGGCTGTGATGAGATGGGAGATGACGCGTGGGATGAGAACGAACCTGTCATGCTGCCACCAACAGTTAGCACGTATAGCATCCGTAACCACTATATACCGCCACCTCCGGACCTGGAGTCGTTGAGGAGGGAACTGCAAACTGCGTTGGCGAAAGCGCGGTTTGTGTTGACGGCGGCGAAGGAGCAGTTGACTCCACAATTGCTGTCACCGACTCCGAGAGATCGCTCGCCTGATGGCCTGTCAGACCCGGAGGATGAAGCCACCATCTCGGAAACACCTACGGCAGCTAGGTCTCCACGGGGTTGGCATGAGATTGAGGGTATGCATATTCTGGATGTGGTTACGTTTGCTATCCGTGCTGCGAAGATATATTACACGGCGCATGAGAATCCGGAGCGCTTGGCTTCTATTAAGAGCGAGCGGAAGATACGGGAAGAGTTGCTGCAGGTTTTGGAGGTTCTGAAGAAGTGGGCTACGAGGAATTTCGCAGGAGGGTTGAGGGACGGGGAACGGGCGTCTCTTCTCGCGTGGATTGCCGGTGTGCGGGAAATGCTTGATGAAGAACGGAAGCTGGAGGAGATAGAGATGCAGAGGAGGTCGAGCTTCATCTGGGCTAATGGGGAATGGGATGGAAGAGAGCGCGAGCAAGCGGGATCATTTCTCCAGTGCCTAGAGACGAGCAATCGACCTCTACCTACGTGGGACTCTGTGGAGACGAATCCACTTCCAACGCCTCTACTCGCGCGTCTCAAGGACGGCAGGGATCTGGTCAGATTCCACAACGAGGCCGTGAAACTGTCGCACCGCCAGTTTGGCCAGATTAAATCGTTCCATGAAGATGTTGCCAAGCCGTACCGGCTGGCGGATAACCTGCGGTATTGGGTCAAGGCAGCTGAGATACGGTGGGAGATCAAGCTTGAGCTGGATGTGATGGCAGTGGTCAATGGTGAGGACGACGAGGCGTGGAAAAGTTTCGACACGGCGCTGATGGCCTGGTGTAAGAGTGTTCGAGAAGAGTTGGTGCGCGATTGGAAAGCGAAGGGCTCCCATTCTGCGACGGTATCATCGGTGGACCCGGGGACCGTGCCAACTGTAGCTGGACTTGGGATTGACGCTTTATAAAATAACCCATTATGGCGGGAAGCAAAATGTCACGGAAGGACAAAAAGGGGCGTCAACACGCCTCTCTTTAATATTTATATTTTGTTTTTGATGAGGTTCACGACGTTTTATTAGTACCACGTTGTGGTCTCCACAGGTGTCTTCTCATTTGATACCCTCTTATCCTTCTTCGTCTTCTTCTATATTATATGTCCATTGTGCTTTTGCTTCTTCCCACGCTTGCAACGCTGCTCTGCGTGCTCTGTGTGTTCTTGATATTTCCCAGACACCAGCACCGGCGAAAACTCGTCGTCGCCGTCGCCCATGTCGGTACTGGAAAATGTGTCTATTGGAGGATAACCTGCGGAATCCCATTTGTTAGAGAAGATCCATACACGCAGACTAAGCGGAAAATATGCCTGTGAAATGTTGAACGTTGCCAATGTATCGTTGCTGATTTGACATCGCCCCAGCATGGGTGGCATACGGAAATAGTTTTAACATGATTTCTGGTTTCCCGGGTGAAAATATATATACTTAATTACTGTAAATAGAAATTTAACTTTGTTTGGAGTCTGAATGTTTGGATAGCCCACTAAATAGAGCAATCAGCATCCAGGGGTTGGATGGATTGTCTAACGGTCGCAAACTTTACGAAGAACGCGAAACCAAGATTTCTTATCCACACGGCCCAGGAAGGGAAAACAAGATTGAAAACAATCATCCCCCGGCCAGGCTGACACCACCTCTGTCTTCTCCCGCACAGCTCGTCTGCGTTGACAATATCGCATCCGTGATATGCCAACGTCGATTCTTGTCTGCGGTTGTCCTCAGGCACCACCAACGTCTTCCGCAGCACCATTCTCCCAACACCACTGCTATCAATCACCACCACCGCAACCAACCACTGCCCACTGCCCACTGCCATCACCACCAACACCAATAGGGGCTGGCCCTCCAGCAATAGCAACGCCAGCACGCTCATCCACTCGATCCACCGCAGCACGGCATCCACCGTCTCCTGGCCCATCCACTAACGGCGGGCAGTCAGTCTCCAATGCCCTCGATATTCTCTCCTGCCTCTGAGTCTGCTTCCGCATTGACATCGACGGCATCACCCGCTGCTACAACACCGACAGCCAATACGTCCAATACGTCCCCCATATCTGTGCCTAGTACACGCCGATCAACCAGTCAAGTGGCACAATCTCTCGCCTCCTGGCCCGACACAACATCGACATCAATCTCACCTACATCCCCTACTCCTTTACCTACGCATACCCCATCGTCTGCGGATAGCAACAACAAAAATAACAAAAATAACGCCCCTTCTCGCAGAAACGAATCCCTATCCCCGTCTCCTGCCGCACAGAAACCACGCTCTTCTTTTCTACGGCGGCTCTCCCCCGGCCTAGCTGCCAGAGTCAAGCTGCTAGACGACTCGTCCAAGTCCACGCCGACAGCACTGACGCGGAGCCGCAGTACGATTGGTAGGATTCCGGAAGGCCATCTCAAAGAGCTAGATAGTGCACACAAGGACCTCTCAATAAAAGTACTACGACGCGGCCGAGCCTGGAGTGGTGGGCGCGGTGTCTTGCTGACTCCGGAGCCGGCCTCCTCTCCCAGCGAGCTGGAATCAGGGAGGCTGAAGGAAGACTGTACTACAACTATAGACACTACCACCCCCGAAGCAGACAGCAGGGTCTCAGATCCGTCTGGCCCGTTGCTGACTGCTCAAGTCGGAGAAAAATTAACAGAGATGTCGGCTGTTCAGGAAGTGCAAACCACTGTGCTGGACACGGAAGCTTCCCATGGATCTGGCAGCCCAACGGACTTGGAAAAATACCTCCGCTCAAGCGTGCAGCCTGCTGAAGGTGCTCCCCCTCCACCACCACCAAAGGACTCCCCTCCCCTGCCAGCTAATGGCTCGAGTACCAATGTGGAGTCATATTTCAATCCCCTTGGTCTTTCTCGCACGGAATCTATTTACTCCTTTTCTAGAGCCACATTTAGCAATCAACTATCCCAATTAACTTCCATCAGCTTACCTCAACCAGCGTCCCTCGAAGCAAGCATAAAGGCCATCTCTACCGCCCCTGCTGCCGTCCGAGCGTTGTCCGGAGCGGCGAGTCAAATACAACAATGGATCGATAAAGCCTCAGATGTCTTGAGTGGGCTGGACGCTGAAGACGATGTTGAATGGGCAGCTGCGGGCGGCAGAGAAGGACTGGAGGATGTCGACAAGGCCGTGTCAAAATTTGAGAGTCTGGTGAATGTCTATGTCAAAGCTATTGAAGAGGTACAGCTGCGCAATGATATTGCGGATGTTGGGTCCGATCAGCTCCGGGCCATCGTTGTCCAGGTGGAATCAACATTGGAGAACTGGAAGGGCGTCAAGTCACAGCTGAGAGGTGTTAAGGAGCAGGTTGAGCTTGCTATGGAGTGGGAAGAGTTATGGACGAACGTACTTGGCGACGTTGGTATGGAAATGGATAATTTAAGTCGATTGATATTCGAGATGGAGGAGAAAAGACACAAAACTATGATTACAGAATCGGAGACAGAGCCTAACAATTCGCTTGATATTAACGAGCTAGAAACGATCGTCGAAGAGTCTCCCGCTCACGGGAGCACATCATCCTCTTCACAGTATAAACATGGCCACGTTTTTGGCGCTGCTCCGCCCCAGCTAGAAGCTCCCACTGTTCAAAATGCTGAGGATGACTCTAGTTTACTAGCGTTGTTTGCGCGGATGCAACCCCTTCGAGCGTCCCTGGCCTTCCTACCCATGCGGCTTTCAATGTTTCAGTCTAGAGCGGAGAAGATATTCCCAAGCGCCTGTGATGAGTTAGAGGCTCGACGAAAACGTTTGGAAAAGGGATATAAAAAGTTGGAAGCCGATGCGGAGGCATTACGGCGGGAATTGGGAGAGGATAGATGGAATTTGGTCTTTAGGAATGCTGGCAGACAGGCACATAAAATGTTCAAGTCTGTCGAACGGACTATCAATAAACTCCAGGAGGCAATTGATTCGGGATTCCACAATGCCAACAGCGCAGCTTTAGCGAAGAAGATCGAGAGCTTTGAGAATAAAAAGGTCCACTATGGCGAAGCCATCGACCGCGTGTTGGCAATCATTCAGAAGGGCATCAACGATAGATTGACGGTCAATGGAGAAATTATACGATTACTCGCAGATCTGAAAGCGAGATCGGAAGCGATGAAGGATAGGATATGCGTCATGGATTCGCTGCTGGAGGACCTCAATGCTACCAAGAGCCAGCAGTTACGAGATTCGATATCCAGCATTGTCACCCTGGATAGTCCTGCTACCCGAAGCGCCATCGATACCCCAGATAGCTCCCCAGCCTCATCTGTGGTCATGTCAAGTACCAATGGAGTCAACAGCGGAGTAGCATCAAGTATCAACGGATCTAGTAGAAGGGGTAGCTCGACAGGTAACCCTATTACAAAGGCAACTGCAACAAAACTAAAGCGTTACTCTGGACTGCCTCAAGCACCGCCTGCACCTCGCCGCTCCTCCATACCCCGCACCACCTCCACTTCGAGCCATCTAACGTCGCCATCCCCACGACTCTCCACACTATCTCCTACGCCCTCCACCCCTCGTCCGGGATCCCGAAACTCCTATGGGCAACAAAATCCTACGTCTAATAAACCACGCTGGAACGGTAGCGCTAATACGAATGATCTCATAGTCGGTCACAATTTTAAACCACTCAGCCTCACCACTCCATCGCCGCACCGCAAGCTCAACTTCCCCACAAACTCGCGTTCCTGCCTCCCTCTCCCCAGTCCCCTCAGCCGCGAGTCATCCGCGTCTCCCGCCCCTTCTTCACGTCGGCCCTCAAGCCGACTCACAGGCAGCCGCATCGCCTCGCCTGCTCCAGATCGTGGTGGTGTCGCGTCACCCACACCCACACGCTCCCGCCTCATCGGTCCACCCCCTTACAGCAAATTCTGCAAAAATTCGTCGTCAACGTTGACAGGCCCTTCTCCTGCGCTATCTAAAACGCCCCGCAGCCGACAAAGTTACGCTGGCCAACCGAGTGCGCGAGCGGTATCGACAAACACGCTTAATACTATTGGTGGCAGTGGTGAGAATGGCGCGAAGAAAGCCGCTACCCGTCCCGGAACCGCATTGGGCCATTCATCCAGACGTACCAGTATGCTGCCACAGCCACGCGGGTCAAAATCGGGAAGGGACAGTATGGGGTTGTCTTCGAAGGGTTTGGAAGAAAGGCCACCGTGGAGGTAAGCTCAGCGATGCATGCTCCGCTCTTGTTGGGATGTTTGGGGAACCATTTTCCCATAAGAACAAAAAAAGGGTTTTATAAATGTGTTGTGTTTTTGTTGTACATGTAGGGATTGGTTGAAATTTGGCTCATTTCAAATATTATCTTGTCCCTTCTCATTTCTGTTTCCCCTTTTCATCTTTTTATTTCATTTCTCTCTTCTAATCTACCAGATCATTCATCTTGAAGCCGCGTGTTCTCCCTTGTTTTTTTAATTGCCCATTTGCGTCCATCTGCCTGTGTAATATGCCTCCTCAAGATGCCAATCCTGCTTGGTAAGTGTCGTTGTTGATTTATTATTTTGTATCTTGCCTTCCCTCCTACCATCTGCCACACCAGCTTTACATGCAATTTTTTTATTCTTGTTTCCGCAGCACTTCATATGCCCGGAAATTACACGTGGATGGAGAAATTATGTCATAACCCCCAATTTTTTCACTCGCACGGTCGGCGCAATTTCAATGCGATACATACAACAAGATACCACCATCTTGATTTCCTCCCCTTTTACCTTCTCGTCTCTTTTTGACTAAATCTTAGTGTATTCCATTTTACAATACCTATTTGGATTTCAGTTCTTTTTCCTCGTACATATTTTTGATTGTATTATTTGCTATAATTCCAAAGTTGCCGTTGCTCTGTATACCTACACAAACAGTTTCGCCGCGAGTGGCCTTAATTTCTCTATTAATTTGGCGATCTTTCCAATTATTTCTTCTCGTTTTTTCGATCTTCCTGTTCCGTCCAACGGTAGAATCCTACTCCCTTCTGTCTCGTCTCTTGTAACTACCAAAAACGACCGCGTATATAACTACCGAACATAGCTGTACAGTGATTAGTTTTCTTGATTAATCCCTATCTATCCCGGGAGCTCTCTCTCTCTCTTTTCTGCTCAACCACCTGTTGGCCCCGGCATTGCATTGCCGCATTCTATATGCTTAATGTTTCATCTCTCGCCAAACCAAGGTATATGGCTGTATTTATCTAACTCTCTATATATATGCAACTTATCTGTCAACCCTCTCCACTTGTAGCTGAATGTCAATAATCTTTTGCTCAGTTTGAGTTGTTCTTCGATTGGCTAGCGGACATCTTGACTTATGGTCCTGTCAAGCATGAACACCCAAGATATAAAAGAATTGTTTGGTTTGAAACCCACAGTTAATTAGACAAATCTGGGTACTTATTGGAAGCATCAAGAATTAAGCTTAATGGGAACGGTTTCAATTTTAAGAGGCCCTCGTATATAAGTGAGTGGGCAGCAACATGCTTTAACACCCTAACTAAATCTGATTAAAAAGAAAATGTCCAGGAAAGAAGATCGGTCCATTGAATGAAACTGAGTTTTCCAAGATGAGGAATCACGGATTTATTATCAATTTCTGGATTTAATCGCCGCCTTCTGTTCAATTTTGTGATTTCCTAGTTAGTTAAGAAATTCCCGAAAGATATCAACTCCTCCTGGGAGGCACCCAAAAAAAAAACTTGTCGTCTGTTCTGTCTGACAAAGTGCCACCATTCACTTCCATCATCTTCCATTGACTATGGGTGAAATCGACTTAACCCAAAACTTCAATACGATCACCCTCTCTATCTTGCACCACAACTTCAATGGTCTTCGCCTGCCTAGCGGCCCAATATCGCCTGGTTTTGAGCCATGTATCATCAAGGGGCATCGGGAAGCCGAACTCGTTTTGGTTTTGGTAGATATATTCGACCCACAATGAGTACAGTTTGCTGCGTGGTATGTTCATCGCGACACGTTTGATAGCCACGCGGAATTCATCGCGCGATTCGTCGACAGAGCTGTAAGACGGGAAACCAGTATAGTTTTCATAAGTCCAATCGTTCAGGAGCTCGGCGTGAGATTTCCATGGAGCGGTCTTTTGGGGGATAAAGGTTTGCACGTAGGAATGTTCCCATGTTCCAACGCTCCAGGGTTCCGCGATCGTCCCGTAAGTAGAGGGGTCGAGGACAGAAAGGACAAAAAGCCAGCTCTCTTCGATTGGCTGGTCTGGTCTTCGCGCGAAGGAAAGCATGGATTCTTCGAGAATGCGTATGTTGTCTTTCTGCTCACCCAAAATATCGTTGATCTCATTTTGGTCAAAGTAGGGCCCATGGCTATTTCCATATCCCCCGCAACATATGTGTTTCATACCCATCATCGCGAAATTTGCCGCCCGCACTAGGTCGGCCAAAGCCGCCTCCGCAGCCTCTTTGCCTTGATACTCTTTTAACATCAACAGCCACTCTAATGCTATAAGATGTCCGCGCCAATCATCTCCACAAAGTCGACGTAAAAGCATTGAGCCTGGTGAGCAACCATTAACTGAACATGGACATCGGCATTGGTCGCGAGCGAATGGGTCAGCCCCTCGAGATAAACACATCGCCATCGCTTCCAATTTCACCGACAAGAATTTTAGGTTATCTGAATCGTCAGTATACTTTGGATAAGGGCTGCCTATATTTTCGCAGATAATGTGCATTGCTGAAGTCCCACGATTGTTTTGTAGGTTGACGTCGACTCCCTGCGCGATAATAGCTCGATATGCTGTACTATCTGACCTACAGCGAAAGTCGAGAGCGTTCATCAGGGGACTATAGCCCTTATCATTGAGTTGGTTCGTCTTCGTGAATCCAGCCTCGAACAAAGCTCGTACTTCCTGCTCTGTGCCAGCACAATGAAGAAGTGTAGTCCCAGAATTGCTCTTTACATCCGGGCTGACACCTAATTGAAGCAGAATACTCATGCCAGGTGGCGGCGGAAATGGGAAGCGAGTAGGATTTTCCAACCACTTAGCGACATAGGAATTCGCCAAGCCCTCCACAGCTTTCTCTGGGAAATCTAAGGCCGTTCGTATATGCGAGAAGAAAAGTCTGAGGACATCCCAGTGCTCCGCACTGAACGCATGGTGTAAACAGATGCTGAGAGGATTTTCTGATTCGTCAGTTGAGAGCGGGATTGTTCCATATTCAAGCAGAAGCTTCGTAGATTCAACGGAGCCGTAGGAAATAGCATGGCACAACGGCGTTGCTCCATTGGCATCTTTAATTTCGACTTCGGCACCGGCTTCGATCAGGCGCAGCAGCTGGCATGGTCTGAGTACTGCCATATGTATTGCCGCTTGCCCGAGGGAGTTTTTGGCATCAAGAGGTATCCGACGTTTAATGCAGGTGTCAAGTTCAGCAGCTGTTCCAGCTAACACGGCGTCCATAAGCGGCGTTTGGTTCCAGGACCCTGTCATAATTTCTCATTAGAGCAGGCACAAGCACCGTCATATCGCCATGAAACTTACCGTAAGAATGTTCGGCGCATTTCTGCAGTAACTTCAGATAAAAGAGATCATAGTATCGTAGGTAGCTACCCCATTCCCGCTTCTCCGGGTTATCAAGTAATATTTTCATGAAATTTACAGCATCATCTATATCTCCTATGTGTAAATTCGTAGCAGGATTCCCTGAATATGGTAGTACAGAATTCTCCTGTGGGTAGCCTATAGAGCGTATCCTAGGAGTCAAAAGTTAGAAGAGGTCAGGCAGTGGAAGACAATCTGGATCGATTAGACTTACGGTAGGCTGGCATTAATTTGCGCACCCGATTCATTTAGTACCTTTAGGAACTCCCGTCGTACTTCAAAATTACCGACGCCTCTAAAATCCAATAATACCTAGGTCAAATATTAGTAAATTCCATTTAACGTGGGCGGAAAACTGATAGCTCCATACCTCTGCCCAAGATTTGCCGTCGGGGTCAGCGTCATAGGGTGAGGCACGACCTTCTTGAAAAAGTCGTTTCAACAGCTCAACTCCTTTTGACAATTCCATGTAATGATTGTCGCATTTCCAAAAAACCGTGAATCCAGGAGAAGTGCGTTTCACCAGCCCTTGGAATCGTAGAGATGGACATAATGTGTAACGCTGTGGTCCCCATGATAGGTCCAATGACATCGAAACAGCCCAGGGAAGACAGAAACGGGAGAGGTTGATGCTTGCTGAGTATTGGCGAATTTTTTGACTATAGGGAGATGCTTTATTTTGCTTCCGCACGATTTTGTCATCTTCCATTTGGTTCTGTGTCTTTTCCTTTCCAGACGAATAAGTGATCAAACGCGAAGAACCTGGGAGCAAATGGTCGTCACGAAGTTTGTCCATTTGATGTGCAAAAACATCGAGTTGACAGAGCGAAAGCGTCTGGTAGCATTCCGAAAGCTTCGATTTCAACGCGATGATCTGTTTCTCATGCATAACTCCGTATACAGCTTTCCGACTTCTGGTCATTATGGAATTGTCCTTTCGAGGAGTGGATCTCTCGAGCATGTAGTCGAGTTCTAGCATATGAGCGGTGTACTCATCAACTAACGATTGGAGGGCGACCGTCATCGGAGGGCTGTAAGACCCTTGATCTAAAAGAATCTGAGAGTGCTGCAATCTCTCGAGAAAAACTGGTAACAATACTTGGATCTCGTGAAATGTTTTCGGCGAGTCGTTGGAGTCTCCAAGGAATTTGTAGAGGCGGGTGGAAAACTTCGCAGCAAAATCAAAAAGCTGAACAATGGAAGCCACTGCGCCAGCAGCAGCCAGGCCTTCTGCCATTTTGTCCCAATAAAAAGGGAGCTTGGGATCCAACCAGATTTGTCAGTTGAGGAAATGACGTCTTCCACATCAAAGGCACCTTTCCATGAAATCTAGGATTGAAGGAAGATCGCTTGTAGAATATAAAGCCATAGTTCTCCCCCGCAAGGCTTATAGTAAGGCAACAGCCGCAGAACTGCAATACTCCGCATGCAATACTCCGCATGCAGTACTCCGCATGCACTGGAACTCTCCATGGGCCAGTAAAATGATGGCGAAGCTGGTGAAAAAATTGCGCCGCATTCTGCTGCAGACATGACCAATGTTACCCCAGCGCCCAAGGCTGATTTCCCTATGTAACGCATGATGCAGAGCATGTGTTAAAAGAACTTCGGTTTCTTGCTTGCTTGCCTTGAGAATGGGCTAGTTAAGAATAGTGTAAGGAATTTCCCCGTTCGTTCACGTACATTTACACGTACTATTTCTGAAGCCGATCGGTATATGCCGTTGGGTAAGAGGTTGATCCACGGAAACAACCTTGAGTCGGATAATAGGCCCGGATATCACTTCCATACAAGTCCGATTAGACACTCTTTTTAGGAAAAAGGCAATTAACTTGCTTCATCACCATATCTACCTTTCCTAGCAGCTTGATAATAGATAAATCTGCCTGGTGAGTGCCATGGGTAACTGGAATATTCCTGGCGGGAAGGAGACGGTATCTTCTCAATTGGCATCGCATCGTGCCGTATCTGGCACAGACACAACTGGTGATTCCCTGGCCTTCGTTATTTGGCAGGGAAGTTCCTGGGATATTTATATCCATGTTGTTGGCGGAGAGTCGATAACCGCTCTCTTTACTAGTATCCAGTGTTGTTTCCAGTGAAAGAATTTCTCCCTGTCTAATGGCCGAGATGGATTCTATCTGGTCCGAATGTCGACTTATTCTTGGGACCCAAATACAAATATAATGATAGGAAAATAACAGGCGATACCGTGTCCCGGATGTATACGCGGTGCCGGGGTTAAGAGAGAGCGGTCTCGAGTACTAATCACGTGATATAGTGTGACTCAGGAAGTTAGGTAACTGTATTCTGTAGTTAACTAGTTACAGTCATTAACTATACAATGATGTCATGTCTTAAGTATTGATAACCATCACAACAAATCATGGTTGTCTCTCGTTGTGACAGCAAGGTAGTACTGGTTGCCAATGCTTACGATCCAGTACAGTATCTAGATATCCAGTGGTCATGAGTGAAAATCACTAGCAGAGATCAATCCAGTTATTGAAGAGCTAGTTAAGTTAACTGCTGAATTATATAATATTTCTTATTCAAGTAGTTAGTTGGTTAACTATTTGAAGAAACAAATCCTATCTCTTTCTAAAGAACTACTTTCACTGCACTTATTCAATAGACAGAATTCACTTTCTTCTACTTACATCTCTTTTTACGTTGATAAGTTGAGGCATTATGCGCAGTCACTACCTAGGTATTCCGACAGCCTAGAGCCAACCATTTAATAGATAGAGCTTATATGTCGTGGTGGTTCCGGCCAACGTTTACGGAAAGCTCAAAGTTTACCTAGGTGACTCAGAGTGCATTTCCAAGGGTGATCAACAGCACAAAATTTTAAAATGTGGAGATATAGTGAATATATCTATCAACTAGCTCATTTTTGCAATTTAATTTGTAATTTTATAATCCATACATTGCCATATAAAATATATAGTTTAAGAGTTAATTAGAGACTTATGTGCACAATGCATTGTTGACAGCGGAAATCTTTTATGGTTGCTGGTATAGTTATATTCATATTACTAGTTGTAATTTTAATACACCTAAGTACAGATCTGCTAAAAATGAAGATTTATGATGTCAACAAATCTTGTTACCAAGCAATACTTTATTCCGAGTATTTACTAAGATTTTCAAATAATATGGAAACGCAATTCCGTTAGGTGTAGGTAACTCCGTCTTCCGCCTGATAGAGAGTCCGGGGAAACGGGGGAGGATACAACATAAATACGCACCTTGCTACAGCCATGGCTGTTCAATTTTTGCACCGATTTTACAATCCTTAATAATACTATTACATTCTTTATACATTTCCTCGTCGAGAAACATCCAGCTCATTCTCACACATCAAACAGCAACCATGAAGGCCTCAATGGTTCTTAAGCTTTTGCCATCTCAGCGGGTTGGCTCAGTCATCAGTGAGTATTATTTGCATCATGTTTAAAGCGGCCGATTAATTCTCTAACTCTCTAAAAAAAAACTTGAAAGCTCGCCACGGAATCCGATTATTCTGAGGTTATGAGAAATCTCAAAGTTGATCCTGATGGGCTTCTCCATGTTGATGAATTTGGGATTATGCGGTCTTTGGATGGAGATGGCAAAGTTATTGATTTTGCAAGACTTGGTCCTTCTCATCTGAACACACTTGCTCAAAGGCGACCCGAAGAGGACCGAGAAGAGCTGCTTGCGATGTGGTCAGGTGCTGACCACACTATGGTTGATGATGAGGAGATCTGGAATCCATCTGAAAATATTATGGCATCTATCCGTGAGCGGGCGGCGGTGGAAGGCTCTAGTAAAGTGCGCACATAAAAAAAAATTACCTTCTCGGGTGTGATTTTTGTGGTCCCAACTGCGGGTAGATCCAGATATCGTAAAGCTTAAGACGTAACGTGATTCCTAACGACTACTTGTAAACTTATTTCGGCTGCTTCAAATTAATAATATCTCGGCAAAGACTTGAAATTATCTAATAAACAAGAAACATTTAATAATTCATGTATATCCGTGGACTTCTTGAAAGGTTTTCTCTAGCAAATGTTTTGATAATAAGTTGATATTTTAAAAACTTTATACAAACTGCATTTCTAATAGAATTTATATACAACTGTGTCTGTTTATAATTAACTACATTAGTTAGATAGCAAACTTAGTTAAACTAGTTATTAGTTATAACGCCACTAGGGCCTGTATACCAATAATATGGTTTTTCTGAAAGTAAATGAAGATTTGTCGTACCAACTAGTACTTGAATGACACCTCACATAAAAAATGCAGATAAGAAAATACTCTTGATTTTTAATTCACATAATATAAATTTATCGAAAATCAAACATAATATATATATATATATATATATATATATATAGTAAATGACTTAAAAGTTATCATGTGTAATTTATTACAATATTCTGTGGTTCAGGTACAGGTGTCAATATGTTTTCCCACAGCGATCTACGTTAAGTTTGATTCAAAAGGTTTCGTCTCAAACTAAAAATTTAAACTGAGATCTCCTTTCTAGTGTCAAGAATCTCTAGTTTGGGCCAGCGACAATAACTTCCAAGCCTTCTGGAGCTAGAATTATTTATTAGGCCACTAGGGCAAAAGAGCTCGATCACCACCAGCGCCATGGTGGTATAGAGGGTACGAATCACCCAATCCAATCCCCCCAACATTATTAACTATGGGAGTTAAATAATAACACCAACGCCTAGGTCACTAGGGCATTGGAGCTCTCCCGACCATCAATGCCATGCTGGGATTGGAGAGACGAGCTAATTCAACCCCTTCAAACTATTCATACTTATCTGATCTCCTGATAGTTCCGAACTTCCCAAGGACTTAATTTTCAAAGTGTAGAAGCAGGCTCTCGCATGGTCCAAAATTTTAACCCAACATGAGGAACGGTTCCATGAAGCTCAAACAAAAATTTTGAATCACATTCACTTATTGTATCCAACAAGAAAAGAGTAGAAGATGTGGGCAAATATACACCGTCAAGCCCTTAAAACAGCCAACAAGGTCGTCAATGAAAATGGCGACCTTGGTCAAGTAGATTTGGCCATTCCCATTAAGCTCCCACGGTAAACCAATATAAATGTGAGGAGTTTATTATGGGAAGTAAATGCTTGAAAGGGATCATCGTAATCTCTTATAACGCAACAAACAATGGAACGTTAGTTTTCTAAATATTGTTGCTGGTTAGAGAGAATAATGAGAAATGAATGATAAAAAAGGAACAGGGGTGTGGAAGTTTATAAGACCAAGTCCATAATTCATATTACTGAGACTGGATTGCTGATTGAACAAGTATTACTAGTCCATGGCCAGCAAACTAAATCGATCCTCAAAAAAAAAAAAAAAAAAAAAAAAAAAAAAAAAAGAAGAAGAGGAAGAGGAAGAAAAAACGGCGCATGTCATGTCTCCATGTTGTGCTCAGATATTTCAACACAAGTGGCCCCATCCATGAAGATGACCTCTACCGCAGGTTTTTCTCGCTACACGTAGAAAGATATGCAATGAAGCGAATGCCAAGAAAGATTGGAGTGTCAAATGCCTTTGTCCTGGCTATTGGCCTCTAAAGGCAGCGTGAGCGGGTTCATAACCTACTGAGGAGTTGTGGCATCATCTTACGCTTGTTTGTACATGTACCATAGACAAAACACGCGAGATGGATTCGATAAAGTTCGCAAGAAGTATGTGTGACCTGGGGTGTTACAACTGAGGCGTGCTTGAGTTTCCCCAATTTTCTTCCAACAATAAATAAGCTCTCTGATATGCGTTTAAAATACTAGACATAGGTCTGGGTATCATAGTATTAGGCACTTCACTTCCAGAAGTAAGTTGCTTTTGGGTACCCATGGAGCCATTGGTCTCTTGTAAGGCACTCCCCTTGCATAGTCAGGAAATGCGTGATATGGGCATTCAAATCTGGTAGTTAATCCAGCCAAATTAGCATGGTTCCTTACCTGCATATGTCAGGTACCAGCTCTGATCCAATATATATAATAATAATCTCACCTTCAACCGTCATCTCCATTCTGGCCTGCAAAGAGAAATGATCTCTGAACTCATGAACAAGGGTGAGGTGCTCGGGAAGCTGCGTTCCTATACCCGCCCCCTCATTAATTCTTTGCCCCGATTAACGTACAATACAAACATCATTCAATGGATCCTAAGGACAGAAAAGGCCCAAAACCATTGCCCGTGCACGAACCTGCAGGAACGGAAAATATCTAAACATCTCCTCGAACCTTCCTCGCAAGGTTCTTCAAGGTTTGAGAATTGGGGCGCATGGAAGCTCCATTCGGGACTTTTGTAAAACGAAAAAAACGGGCGCGAAGACGTTAACAAAACCAGCCTTTTTTTTTTTTTTTTTTTTTTTTTTTTTTTGGGCCCCCAAAAGAAATTTCTATGAATTATCCGGCCCACGCCAGACCTAGACGCATGACATACAGATATACGTTGCAGGCCTTAACGCCCTCGGTATCACTCTCCCATCCTCCAGGAGGAGGTCAAACGGTCCATGCGGCGGCATGGCGGGATCCATGTGCGGCCGGAGACGAACCGCCAGGCCGAAGTTGAGGCGGAATATCTGGCAGGGAAAGCGAGTGAAGGATCGGATGAATCTGTTGGTGAGTGCCATTTTTACTTTTTTTTTTTTTAACACTTTTTCTCTGATTTTTCGGCTTGATTGAAGGATTGCTAGCTACGTGGCAAGTTATCCACGGGGCGCGTTAGCGGCGTTATAGTTATGGTGGAAGGATTACTAAGCCAGGGCAGTTGACCTGACACAACGAGGTTTCGAATGAACGATGGGGTTCGGCTCCGTTGCCAAGCCGCCACGCGCGGCTTGGCCTGTTGGGCGGCTAAGGAGGTTCTGGCCTGCTTGTCAAATGTTGGGGGGATTGGATTGGGTGATTCGTACCCTCTATACCACCACGGCGCTGGTGGTGATTGAGCTCTTTTGCCCTAGTGGCCTAATATCAAACTTGTTCTCCTGAGTCAGGCTTTGGATGGCTAAGTGTAACCCATGGTAAAAAAAAAAAAGATGATTTGATTTGTGTGCCTAGATAGGCTCGCTAATATATTTTTATTTTTTATGGGCAACGTAGTTGAACATGGTTAGAAAGGGAAATCAACCACGTATCATATCATCATCATCATTGATATTTAACACACATGCTTCCCTCGCTCCCCTCACTTTTCATACTTGCACTCATTATTTTATAATATAAGAACGGTAACTAACTATAGTACATAACATAATAACTAATTTTACGTTGTAGTTATAATAATAACTATACATCAATTACCAGTGATCATATAGTTATATCACCAATCTATTTTGTAGAAATACGGAGAGTTAGCTATAATAGTATGTAGAGAGAGAGAGAGATCTACCATAAATTCTGCAAATAGTCTATAGAGATAATATATATATATATATATAGATAGATAGATAGATAGAAGATCACTATTTTTAGAGACTCAGGAGATATAATATTGCCATATTATAGATATAGACATAGATATAGATAAAAAAACCTCAGCGTTTATCATAAACAGAGATTCAGCGGAGACTCAGCAGAGAGCTGACAGACAGATCCACTTAAAGCCAAAAATTGATACAACAAAATGTAAGCTCCAAAGAGAAGAAAATACACCGTACGTTTTATACAAGTATCAATTGATAGAGCTGCTGGGCATGGAATGAAACTGGAACACGGGACAATAATAATCCAGGTCATAAGTCACAGGGTGAACATGTAGGTTACAGAAAATTTATTCTCCCCATTAGTTATTTTATATAGGAGTGAGGAGAGAAGGAAAGACAGCAAAAAGAAAGAAACGCAAGCCGCGAAAACCGCTCCCCTCAACGCCGATGCGAATGACAGTAAGAATAACTAACTAATAGACATCGATGACTTGGATGTTTACAAAGGCGCCAACAAGATAACTAATTAGTATTGTGAGAAAAAGGAAAGGGGAGGGAGGGGTGCTGGGGTGGCTAGAACTCCTTTCACTAACTTACCTTTCCAGTTACAGATCATAATGAAAATAATAACGATAATAATGACGATGATGATAGTTAATAAAATTAAGCCTAGATGATAACATATTA